CCTCTCCCTCTCCCTGTGGAGAACGACCAGAAGAATCCCATGTGATGTATCGATGTTCCATTTGACTAATCATCCGAAAGGTAGAATGCTTCTTCTTGCAACAGCTAACTAATCGTGCTCATTCATTCATTCATTCATTCATTCATTCATTAGTTTCCGCACTTCATATCTCGAGACCGAAAACAAAAAAAAAGAGAGAGAGAACAAACAGTGAGAAGAAAAAGTGTTGGTCATCAGAGAGAGAGATGCTTGCGTTTGTCTCCTTCTCGGTGTTCTTTCGCCTGCTCTTAATTGCCAGTGTGTTAGCCATTTGCAGCTTGAATCCATTCGAGATGGCTGGATCTGCCACGTTAAATTCTGGTTGTCAATCCATCAAAGAACTCGATCGCTGATGCTTGTGATCTTAATCATATTCTCTGTCAGTGAAAAGGTCTCGAGGCATGGCATGGCATGGCGTGGCATGGCACGGCGTGGATGCCGTAAGAAGCATCTCACCTCCCCGCGTGTAACCATCAAGATGGGTGGGGGGCTCACCTTATCTCGATGCCTGAGGACTTGACGTGGACTGCATCAATGGAAAGAGGCACAAAGAATGCAATAGGTCAGATGCAGCATTTAAGACACGGCGACAGGGGGTAAAGCCCGGATGTGCTCTCTTAGATTGCCACATCTCACTTGCCACCACTCTCATGTCAAAACATCGACACACAACACAGCTTCCACATGATTCCAGCACATGAATCACTTCTTCTTCTTCTTGTGGCTGCGACTTCCAAATGCAAAGTTCCATGGAATCCAACACATGTTATCGAACGCTGGTGCCAACATGGGTAGTAGTAGCAACCCACCTAATGGAGGTCCCTTTGTCATGAAAGCTCGAGGCAACAGTGCAGGTTTGCATGTGACCTCGAGGAGAAGGATCTCCAGAAATATTCACTCTTCTCCCCGGTAACGAGACACATCTCACATGTCCCCCCCAACACAGTGAGGAATTAAGGGCACACCGGATCGATTTCTTTTCCCCTCCTCCCTCTTCCCTCCTCCTCTCCTCCTCCCACCCTCATGAACAGCTGTGAAAGCTGCAATGATATGATCTGGCTTTCACATTCCCCCCATCAACACTGTCTCCTCGGTGGTACAGCTGATGGGAGTCAGAGATGGACAGGTGATGTACTGATTGACAACAAAAGTGATGGCCTCCTCTCCCGTTGCCTGTGCCATGAGATGTGTACTGTGACCAGATGCTTACAGCAGAGAGAGGGTGTCCTATTTATTACCTGAAGCTGACTTGGAGACAGCCTGATCCAGCTTCGACCCTCCGGACAAAGGCTACTACTACTATGACCATGGTGAAATTATCACACCCTCCTCCTCCTGCTTCTCTGCTCTTTCTATTGTACATGGACAATAGATAGAGCTTCATCATCTGAGTTCCATCTCATGCAACCAAGTTTGGTTATTTATATCGAATTTATATCATTCTAATGAGGGATAGAAACATATATTCCTGTCAATTGAAAGAAGAATGAAGATGGAAAATTGCATACCTCAAGTGTGTTCACGAAGGATCTCTTCTCGATCTCCGGGCAAGGTGCTGGGAGGAAGAGGCGTGGGGGCGGCGCCGCCACCGTCGGCGGAGGAGGAGGTGGATGGGGCTGGCGTGCACGGAGGAAAGACAAAAGAGTCGGTAGGTGAGCTTTCTCAGTCGCTGCACTGCGACCAGCACTCCTCTTTTGTCTTCTCCACCGTCGTCGGCTAACAACAACAAGGCAAGCAGCGGCAAGAGGAAGAGAAGCCGACGAGCTGTCTCCTCCTTGTCGGCACCGAAGCCCCCACTCCCCCCGGAAACAGCCAAATGTATTGGCCAATCCACCTCTCCCTTCTTCCCTCCCTCCCTGTGATGGAGATCTCATGTGCTCAATTATGGTCGACCACGTAGTTTTCGAGATGGAATCGGACGTCAATTCCATCAAATCTACTGCATCATTCATTGAAGCCATGGATCGAGTTTATCAACATATCATTAATTATATGCATCTTATTTATTTATTCATTTATTTATTTAAAACACATGAATAAAATTATAAGAATAGTATTAAGAATGATAAGAAAAATAAATAAATAGTTTAATCAGTGAATTTTTGTTTGATGATATGGTATGACTATTAATATTTTTTTATTATGTTAAATATTAAACTATGATTATGATTATTGTTTGAAATAGGATCTCAAGTATTTTGGAGAACATGTGGAAATAAATATGAGAGCAAATGACCCAATCACCACATCAACATCAAGTATGTATGTTGGTGGAGGGATGAGGGTGACATTGTGGCTAACATGGCACTCTGGTCAAGCAAGGGGGGCAAATTGGATGTGAAGTGCCTTTCCATCCCATTTCAGTGTCCATTCTTGATTGGTTCCAATAAATATGCCTTCTAAATATGATCCACATCTTTTGATTGATTGAAAAGATGACAGTGATCTTTTAACATTAAAATAAATAGATGTGGATTCAAGAAAAAAAAAATAACAATAATAATCTCTCATCTCTATTTCTTGGATTTTTATTTTTAAATAAATCAATTTATATGATGGATATGATTTTAATAAAAAATTTAAATATTTTTAATTTAACTAAGCATATAACAATTTATAGATTTCGGAACTTACGGCTTTATTGTTGTTACATAAATATGGAGATGATACAATGCGATGTGAGTCGATGGTTTGATTCCAAGAAATCTCTTCTATTTTCTTGCGTATAATTAGCAAGTCGAAAAACGATTTATGCATTCAGCCCTTTTGAATTTACCAAATGTTCTTACCATCACCTCTGACTAAGCCTCTTGATATGATAAAGCCTCTTATCTAATTACAAATCCATGATCGATTGTGTTCCTCGCACCGCACCCTCATCGGTGTTGTCATGAGTCGACGAAAACAAATTAAAAACAAAAAAGAAAATATATATTGTTCATGCCTAGTGGTTGAATGAATCCCATCCTTTTCTTATGTTGCTTTTCCGCATCAAACCATATATTTCAGCAGGAAAGGACGAAGGCCACAGGTGAAGAGAGCCCAAACCATGGATGCTTTCATGCTTAATGTATGAAGCAAATATGGCTGCTGTTTCATCAATGAGGAATGCACCTATGCATGGATCATAACAATGGATCGATGCTGAGCAGCAAAACAAGCATAGAATAATTGACCTACTTGCCAAAGCAACTAAGCAGGTATGAAGCTTAATTATCTGATAGGTATGTATGTCTCTATATAGCCCTTCACAGTTCCATTTCGATCGACTCTATCTTGTCATGTCCTGCAGCAGCTGAGCTCCCATCAGGTCTCGGTAAGGAAGGTTCACCGCCTCCCCATCCGAAATGGAGAAATGGACCTGTTGATCATCGTCAACATGGTCTGCAGAGAACAGCTGGGAGTCGTGCAACAAGGATAGACTCATGCCTCCTCCACTGTGGTGCTGAAGACCCAGCGTTAAGGACACACCTGTGCTGCTGCTGCTGCTACTGTAGGGGAATCCCAAGTCGCTCACATGCCGGTGATGCTGCTGTCGGTACTGGTGCAGAGTTTGGTCACTGTGATGGCTGCTGTTGATGATGGAGGAGAGCGATTCGGAGTCCACCAGCGGCTGCACCGGCAGGGGTTTCTGGTCGAAGCTGAGACCGGAGTTAGGGTTAGGGTTAGGGTGATCGTTGTGTTCACGGCCAGTCGGTGCTTGGTCGGCCTGGTTCTCCAGCTCCTTCGTCTCTTCCAGGTACATCTCCTCCACCATGGGCTTCCATAGCCTCACTCTTGCGTTTATGAACCAGTTGGAGACCTGTGCATGGCGCAAAGCGTGCTTAGAACGCAGCGGGTGAAAGGATCAAGAAGATGAAGACGTGATAAGATTCTCTACCTGGCCTCTCGACAGTCCGGTTTGCCGGGCTAGGATGTGCTTGTCGGCATCGTTTGGGTACCTGAAAGAAGAGGGTAGATTAGCGTTCGGCTGTGTCATCCGAGGTCCGAGAGAGATCGGTGCATCACGATCCATCCAGGTTTCGAGTTGGTGCAGTTTCACATCACTGGAACAGCAGAAGCAATCAGAGAACGTTACGTACGGGTGAAGGAAATGCTCGAAGAGCCAGGCACGAAGAACGGAGACGGAGCGGTCGGGGAGGCCACGCTGAGGCCGCCACGGGTGCGGCTCCATCGTCCCCTGCTGAAACGCCTTCTGCCGCCGGATCCTCTGGTCCAGCATCCTGAGCCTCGGCGTCTCCCCCGGCGTCGTCCCCGGCGCCGCCGAGTCCTTCTCCCCCGTCGCCTCCTTCACCGCACGAATCTGACCCACGATCCCGTCCCTCAAACACCGGAAGTGCCTCGACATGGCCTTCGACGCCAACCCCGCGTACGCCGACGCGGCTCCTTCCCCACCCACCACCTCAAACCACGCCACCACCCCCCTCATCTCCTCGTAGTACTTCCGGTATCGCATGTCGACCTGTGTTGATACGATCAATGCGTCAAGATTAAGGTTGAGAGAGAAGACCGATGGTAGGAGTACTACAAACAATAACGAGATAACAAGAGCAGTGACGGCCCAACGAAGGGAATGGTGGGATCCCATTAACGAGGGGGATGGGGCAGTGGTAGGTTAGATGTCTATCTATGTAAAGGAAGGGAATCGAGGGTTCCCGATGTAATTGGAGCAGCCCCAAACTGTGAATCTGTCCCTACTGCCGGTGCAGACCCATTCATAATTGAACCTAGGAGATATATCAGGTTCCAGATCTATTGATTTGGATCATTACAAGCATCCATCTCAACTATGATCACAGGATATCTTGAAGCTAGCTTTCATGAAAACCAAGAAAGAATTCACCTCCTCGAGCATGGACAACAGCTGGGCTTTGATCTTTTGGAGCTCCACGAGGTCCATGGAGCGCAGAGACTGATGCCACGGAGAGGAGAGGGAAGGCTTTCCAGCTTCCCCCTCATGGTTTGTCTTGTTAGGCTTCTTCTTGGAACTGCTCTGCCCTGTGACACCACAGAACTCGTTCAGCAGCTCCTGAGCTGGCCCCAGGAACTTGGAATTCCTTAGCTGCTGTTGCTGAAGGTGGTACGCTGCTCTCAGCTGCGGCTTGTCTCCGGCGGCGCTGTACTGCTCCGGCGGTTGAGGCACACCTACTAGTGCAGCTGAGTGCTTCATGTCGAGGAGGGAGAGGGAAGGCCCCCCGCTGGGTCGCTGGGTTCTGACACAGGAGAACAGAGGCCTCAAGGAAGAGGAGGAGGAGGAGGAGGAGTTGTCCACCTGCCATGGACTCACCGAAGCTGCCGCCTGCCAGCTTTGATGCTTGGAGGGGACCCCGAGAATCTCCATCCCGGGTTGGATGCCAAAGAACTCATGGCTGTGCTCGAAGCCTTGCATGGGGAATTCATTGTAGTGGGACTCATGGGCCATCACATAGAAGCTCTTGGGTACTCACTACCCCCCCACCCTCCCCCTACAACATGCAGAAGCTCTTCCTTTTGCAGCTCGAGATCACCTCGGAAAGAGATGATGAAAGTGATGGAGGGGAAGATCTTGGTTCTTCAACTCGTTAACTGCCTCTGTTCTTTGGCTCCGATCCCCACTTCTCCAAAGTGCGAGTTCTTTTTGCTTTCATCATCTACTTTTCGATCTCCCCCTCTCATCTATTTTGCAGATGGCCATCACTTGCAGAGTTCTGCTCCTGATCAGAAGTAGACAGAGGGAAATTGGAACTCAAGAAAAACTTGCCACTGCTGCTCTGATACTACAAATAGTCTTCTATAAACCCTAGAGACCTAGGGATCTAGTGTGTGTGTCTGTGAGAGACAGAGAGAGAGAGAGAGAGTATGGGATGAGGAAGAAGAACAGCAACAAAGATAGGCATGAGGAAAGTGGAGAGAGAGAGAGAAAGAAGTGGTCCTCTTGCTTCCAGCTAATCTCCATTAAAGGGGTGTATTAAAGGAGAGAAGAACCGATGGGACCGCATGCAGGCCACCCTCACTTCGTTTCTTCCACTCGTACTGTTCCTCATATTTTTCTACCTTGTAAGATTTTTTGTGTTTGTCCTCTCGTTTAATTCGTTGCTTGAAAGAAAGCAATCGTGTGGATCAGATCCTCTTGACATTTTACTTGAAAGCATCCATTTAGATCAGCTTAATTCTACCTGCTCTCTATTTTCCTTTTGCTCGGTCAGCATGTAGAGAGAGAGAGAGAGGAATGGGTATGATTGGAGAAGATACTGTGAGTCCTATGATGTGCTGCACACTCGTACGTACATCTCTTTGCATGAGAAGCCAATGCATGCATTCGATGACGCCAAAGAAATCTGCCGACAAATTGACTATTGATAGAATCATGCTGATGAAACCACACGAAAGGTTTGACCATATCGTAAGTGTGTGTCATGGCTTATGTAATGGCATCACAATAGAGGACTATAATGGACATTATTCGGCCACAGGAAAATTATCTTTTTCTCATTATGACACCGTCGATCACTATACCAACACCTAATTTACTATTTAGCTTAAACTATGATTGTTTAGATACAGACAAATAGAAACCTGACAGGTCTTCTTCCCCCATCATCAGCATAAACATTATATGACTGGATGAGTAAAATGGATGAAAAGAAGTTTTTGATCATTTTTCTATTAGTTATTTGATCTAATTATTCCTTAGTGATGTTGGTGATTATCTTATATGTCCTATCATTTGGGTATAGTGATTTGTTCCCAAGTAAAATTATATTATGTCAATTGTGTATAACATGTCCTATCATTTGCTGCTCGTCTTAGTTCGAAAATCAAAATAAATATGAGGGCCAATTGATTATGCCAATCGATAAGCCCAACATTTAGTTTTCATGTTTAAAGATAAAAAAATTATGTACTCGATCAGTAAAAATTGGGTATTGATATAGGGATAAGAAAGTGATCGATCCTTCGAAATCATATAAACTTGACGTCATGTGATAGACACATGATCGATATCTTAGCACCCAACATGTGGCCAATATCTAGACACGAGATCGAATCGAATCGATTGGTCATGCTATCATATTTTTCATTACAACGACGTTCATAGACTCAGGATATCGTATTGGTATCTCGTAATAGGATAAAGACGATTACATCGACATCCAGATATTTAGAATAATGATAATGATAAAAGATATTTAGAATATTAGAGGAAAGTGACGATATCAAATGAAAAAAATAAAAATAGAGAAAAATAAAAAAAGATTTTTTTTCATGATGTAATATCGCTTTAGATCTTTTCTATATTATTAAGATTTCTCCTCTTATTCTTTATAATATTAAATGGCACTTCAAGAAAGGTAAGTTAGGTCGTTCACATATGTATTGTGCATGTGGGTGATCTCTAAATATGAGGTCTCATCCCATAATTAATTTAGCTAATAATTAAATATATAACATAAGATTCCAAAGATTGGAAATTAATCTCACACTGTATGAAATAAACTCGAGTCCGAGTTGGAGTCTGATTTGTCGGCACCGATCCAACATGGCTTGGTGGGATCTGCGCTGGGGATTAGACCCATTTACCACCCTCCACGTGTGTTCGTGAACGGCTGGATTCGACGGATCGATCTTGATGGACGGTCCAGATGCGGTAAACGGCCTATATTATAATTATTATTCTCGTTTACTTTCCCATTTAATGTCTCACGGTTTGGGTCAACTCGGTTCCGCTTCTTCCTTCCACCGCTCGCAGCCCCCTTCTCTCGAACACCGAGGAGATCCATCGATCGCGCCGCGCCCCCTCTTCGCCCCCCCCCGCCTCCCCAGATCGACTCTTTCTTCTGACGCGACTCTGTCGGTAAGGTTCTTCTTCCTCTCCTTCTTCTTCTCTCCGGAGATCCGTTCCATTCGCGTCTCTCCTCGATGTTAATCGGGGAAATTAGGGTTTGCTTTCCGATCTCGTGCTGATTTGACCTCCTTTATTTCTTTTGATGTTGTTTTCGTTTCTTGGGATTAGATCGGTGATGTTTTTCTTGAATCTTGAAATGGTGTTTTGGTTTGCAGATCCACTGCGTGAGCTGTAAAAAATCGCATTTTTGATTTGATCGCAGGTTTCCGCAAAAAAGATTGGGATTTGGGGAGATCCGATGGCTCCATTTTCCATCTCTTTGAGGTCTTCTTGCTTCGTCCTCGTCGCTTTGTTGATTTTGGGGCCGAGCTATGCCTTTTACCTGCCCGGGAGTTATATGCATACGTATTCTCAAGGTGAAACCATAACGGTGAAAGTGAATTCGCTCACTTCGTTCGAGACCGAGCTCCCTTTTAGCTACTACAGCCTGCCCTACTGCCAACCGCAGGACGGGATCAAGAAGAGTGCGGAGAATTTGGGCGAGCTTCTCATGGGTGACCAGATCGACAACTCCCCTTACCAGTTCCATGTCAATGTCAATGAATCCTTTTACCTCTGCACCACGAACCCGTTGAACGAGCGCGAGGTGAAGCTGCTTAAGCAGCGGACTCGCGATCTGTATCAGGTGAACATGATTCTTGACAACCTTCCCGTTAGGAGATTTACCGAACAGAACGGTGCCACCTTTCAATGGACAGGGTTTCCTGTTGGTTACACCCCGTCGGGAAGTTCCGAAGACTACATCATTAATCACTTGAAGTTTAAGGTCCTAGTCCATGAGTACGAGGGAAGCCGTGTGGAGATAATTGGCACAGGGGAAGAAGGGATGGGAGTGATTTCAGAGACTGAAAAACAGAAGATGTCTGGGTATGAGATTGTCGGGTTTGAAGTTGTTCCATGCAGCGTGAAGCGCGATCCAGAAGCAATGTCAAAGCTGAACGTCTACAGTAAAGTTGGTCCCGTGGACTGCCCATTGGAGCTTGAGAAATCCCAAGCGATTCGGGAACAGGAGAAGATCTCTTTCACTTATGAAGTTGTATTTGTGAAAAGCGATGTCAGATGGCCCTCGAGGTGGGATGCGTATCTCAAGATGGAGGGTGCCAGGGTTCACTGGTTCTCGATCATGAACTCTTTGATGGTTATATTCTTTTTGGCTGGAATAGTCTTTGTAATATTTTTGAGGACTGTAAGGAGGGACCTTACTAGATACGAGGAACTGGATAAAGAGTCTCAAGCGCAGATGAACGAGGAGCTGTCCGGCTGGAAACTTGTCGTGGGAGATGTTTTCAGAGAGCCAACGAACTCAAAGCTGCTCTGTGTAATGGTTGGTGATGGAGTGCAGATTACCGGTATGGCTGTTGTGACCATTGTGTTTGCTGCTCTTGGCTTCATGTCTCCTGCCTCACGAGGCATGCTCTTGACGGGGATGATCATTCTCTATCTCTTCCTTGGGATTGCTGCTGGATACGTTGGTGTTAGGCTATGGAGGACAATTAAAGGTGGCTCAGAAGGATGGAGGCCGGTTTCGTGGTCGATTGCTTGTTTCTTCCCCGGGATCGCGTTTGTTATTCTCTGCATTCTGAACTTCATGCTGTGGGGAAGCAGCAGTACAGGAGCTCTCCCAATCTCATTATTCTTTGTTCTGTTATCCTTGTGGTTCTGCATCTCGGTGCCACTTACCCTTTTGGGTGGATTCTTGGGCACTCGGGCTGAGCACATTCAGTTCCCTGTGCGAACAAATCAGATTCCAAGAGAAATCCCTGCGAGGAAGTATCCCTCATGGCTGCTTGTCCTTGGTGCTGGAACTCTACCCTTCGGGACCCTTTTTATCGAGTTATTCTTCATTCTATCTAGCATATGGCTTGGGAGGTTCTATTACGTGTTCGGGTTCCTGCTCATAGTTCTTCTCTTGCTGGTCACCGTCTGTGCTGAGGTTTCTGTTATCCTAACATACATGCATCTCTGCGTGGAGGATTGGCAGTGGTGGTGGAAAGCCTTCTTTGCATCTGGCTCAGTTGCCATTTATGTGTTTTTGTACTCCATCAACTACTTGGTGTTTCAGCTGAGGAGCTTGAGCGGGCCTGTGTCAGCAATGCTCTACCTAGGCTATTCGTTGATCATGGCTGTCGCTATCATGTTATCCACTGGCACCATTGGTTTCTTGACGTCATTTTACTTTGTTCACTATCTCTTCTCATCAGTCAAGATTGATTAGAGGTTCGCTCCCTCGAGATTCAGCAGTTCCTCACTTCAATTTACAATCTTGGCATAGCCTTAGGATTAATAGATTTGATTAACTTGCCTTGAAGTTGAGACTACTTGTACTCAAGGTCAGCTGCTTCAAAGTATTTTTCTAGGATGAGATCTATGGAACTGCAGCTTGTCATTTTCTTTTCTTTCATTTCACTATGTTACCTCCGAGACTTGCTTACGACTGTTAAGCTTTATTTGGATGTCAAGGTCACAGAGTTACTTTTTCTTTTCACCTTATTTTCTGTTTCTTGTTCGACATTTACTGAACCTTGACAGTAGGATGTCAGTTTGGCAACTATTTTCTTATCTATTGCTCCAGTTATCAATGTTTGCTGAGATTATTGTGGCAGTTATCTTAATTACATGATAAATTTCATGTGTTCCATATTAGTTGGAGGTTTTATTTAAGCTGTGCTTATAATCACTTCTTGTAGCAGTAGAAGTTGGCTTTTGACCCATTTGATGTTCTTTTTGGATTTTTCTCTGGTTTATGTCAGATCTGAATTGTTGTACATTAAGAATGTAATTATTAGATGTGTTGTTATTTGAAATTGGAACAAATAAGCGGAGCATAATTACAAAATCATGGAATGCTTTGGTTTAAGATGTAGGGCTATTTAGTTTGTTCTACGACATAGGTGCTGGATTAGTTGTTTCATTATTTCGGTTCATGATATGCATTAAATCATTTGCCCTTATTGTAAGGATTCCTTGTAACATAGAAATATGGCTATGTGCAATTTGAGGAACTGGTTTTTCTTGTTCACATTGAGACCTAAATCCCTAAATATAGGTGTAAAAATCATTGCAAACTCAGCTGAGATGCCTTGAAATCTTTTTCCCTTGTCTCCTTCCTGGGTGAGTGATGCTAGGGTTATTTGCTTGATCTGCAGCAGTTAGTTGTGTGCTTCAATTTGTTTCTTCACTTCCCCCAAGTTTCCTTAAATCAAAGAACTCAAAAGAGATCTTTCATCATGTTTTCATTGTGTTGGTCATCTGTGGTCAAAGATTTGAGTTTCTCCACCCTCCTGCTTTCATTCTTTTGATCATATTTGTCTATGTTGTAGCTTTTGCAGACATTTTGTAAGTTAGTTTTGGGATTCCTGTCTCTTTATCACATCTTTTGTAATAATAGTATTAACACTCTGTGAATGAATGCATTCTTTGACTCTTATCAGCAGCAAAAACTTCCATGAGCACACCCTCCAAAAGATGTATATTATTAAGCATAATCAAAGCTAAATCTATAATGGCTGACATATTCAAACAAAATTTTGATAGATAATAATGAATTGCTGAGCATAAAATTCGAACACCATTAGTAAATCTGGTGATACGAATCTTATCAGACAACAGTGTTCTGCCACATGAACAGGAAATCTAGACAAAATCCAACACCCTGCTGTAGTCCAGGTTTGTCCATATCAGGAGAAAGGGCAGCATCAAGCATCACATGGCATGTCCCTCGCACGCACGCGCGCACGCACACGTGCACGTGCACGCAAGCCCACACGCACGTTGACGAGCCCCCACCTCCGCCTCCCCCCATTTATGACCCTCAACCCCCACCTCTCTTTTGCTTCCACCACCTCCACAGCCGCCGCCACCACCACCACCACTTCACCAGCTCTTTCCGCCATGGGCTTCCCCTCCGTCTGCTACACCGTCATCCTCCCTCGGCCCGTCGCCCTCGTCGTCCACCTCCTCGACCGCATCAAGCTCGCCGTCTCCATGGCCCTCTTCTGCCTCGGCCTCGCCTCCTCCCACGAGGACCACTTCCTCTTCCCCCTGCAGATTCCCGACTTCCTCCCCCCCTCGTCCCCGGCCCTTCCCATCCCCCCCTCCGCCATCAAGACCAGGCTTCCCGTCGTCAGGTTCTCCCGCTTCAGGATCGACGGACGCGACGCCGTCTGCTCCGTTTGCCTGGGGGCCTTGGAAGCCCGGCACGAGGTCAGGGAGCTCGGCAACTGCTCCCATGCCTTCCACAAGGGCTGCATCGATAAGTGGGTGGACGTCGGACAGGTCACCTGCCCGCTGTGCAGAGCTCAGCTACTGCCCAAGGAAAGGGAGGAGGACGCAGTGGCCGCCGACTGAGACTCGTCAGGGCACGGACGGTGGGTGGGTTAATCTTCTCTTGTTCTCCCTTTGATGAATCACAGTATGTCCGGTGCATCAAGAGTCCTATGTACAGATTTGGTCTCCTATGTAAATGATCTCCAGATGAGAATGAAACCATCTTCTCCTCCCGATGATCACGAGTCTTTTGTGTTTCAGGAGAAAGGGCGCCAAGTGATTCCACTCATCAATAATGTTGGTGATGAACTGTAGCTGATCATTCCAAAGAGTTTCATGTGCTGAGTCAAGAAATCAGAATCATTCCTCTTCCAAATCTTCTATCTGCTGCACTAGAAACAATGATCTAAATCTTAGCCAATTCAGACTTCATCATCATCTTTTTCCTTGTTCAGGACCTTCCTTTTCTGCTTTTTAACCTTTCTCTTTATCCTTTCCTTGTTCAGTAGGCTTGCAGTTTGCTTTAGAGCAAGGATATCTTTCAGGCAATTCACTTCCTTGATCAAGCATGATATGAACATGCAACTGAAAACAGCTCAGGAGAGTCCATCATGGACAATCTCCTTTGGTGTCTGGACACCTCTACACTTGAGGTTGGTGGATCTTAATGAGCCCCTTCAATGCCAAGAAAAAGGTCACATCTCAAGCTTCTTTTGCAGATGGCAGGCATATTAGTGTCAACCAAGGGCACTCACTATGGTTCTCTACTCTGACATATGCAAATATGAGTTTACCATATATATATATATATACCATTTTTTCTTTATTATTTATTTATTTATTTCACAAAGATCTCATCTGAGGCAGCAGAATGATATCTATCTGATGTCATGTTGTGAGATCTTCAGAAATAGGGCACAGTTCAGCTCTTGAAGGATTCTTCTCATCTTCTTCTTTGTGTATTTAAATCAAACAAACAAGATGAGTTTCCAATAAAAATATGGATGCATGTGCCATTCAAAGAGGTTGGATGCAGAGTGTTCTCTTCTTCTTTGTGGATTTTAAACAGCAAAACAAACAAGATCAATTTCCAATAATAATATGTATGCATACTTTGACAATGTGGCAACATGATGCAGTCTATCCCATTCAAAGATCTTGGATACAGAATGCATGAACATACAACAGGAGGATGAGATCCATCATCTCTCTCAGCATTTTTGTTCTTGAGTTACATATAAGATGAGGCTCCAACCAAGCATGGCTTCTCATCATCTATTTTGTGAATTCTAGTGCCCAGGTATTGGCATACACATAAGTGGGTTTAAACCCTGAGAAGCCAGCTTGCTTTGCCAACTCCTGGAACTCCATTTCAGTTCTCTCTTTGCCTCCAGGATTGTGAGCCAACATGATGAGATCTACATGGCAAACACTCTGTGTTCTGAGACTTGGCTCTGGGACTACTGGAAGAACACATTCCACTGCTATCACCTTTCCATTCTCTGGCAAAGCCTTCCAACAGTTGTTCAATATCTTTGCACAACTCTCATCACTCCAGTCATGTAGGATCCACTGCAGTTTCAGTATAAAAACTGGATATTAGTTCATAAAATATGATTAGATGCATTTGTTTTCTGCATGCAAAGATTATTGATCTGTTTGCATCCATTTTTACATGTATCAAGTTCCTTGATTCTTATTATTTGTATGAGAGTCTCTTTCTTTTCAGATTCTACAATTGTCTAATGACAATGAAACTAATGTATCACTCTAATCAAAAGTCCCAAGTCCACCCCTACTCATTAGAGTCATTAGACCAAGACCAACGTTGACTCTTCCCCCTGCCTTCACTTCTGTGCCTGTAATTATCAGAGCTTTGGTGAAATAAGGCACTTGGAATCCAAGAATGGTTGCAGTGGGAAACAGAGCAGTCTCATGATTAGATTATACCCTCCTGTTTCAGACATGGTGATCATGAATCTAAGAACAAGACCTTCGAAGTCCTAGTACGTTGACGGGTCTCTTGATGGAAACATTAATAGAAAGAATTCTTGGTTGAGTGCACACTCGAAGAACACATCTGAACGACATTTGATAGTTTTCAGGTGATTCTTCATGTCATTTTTAGTTCCAAGCATCTGACCAACCTTCATAAGAATGGCGTCTCCGCCGGGAACGCTCTCAAACATGTCGCCGCTGACATGATCCACGCCTGCAGCCAAAAGGATCCCGAGAATCTAAGCCAAGATCTAGACAAGATTAACCTGATTCGTGGACGTGGAGCTTGTTGTATGACCTGGCAAGGGCGGCGCGTCGGAGATGACATGAGGGAGGTCGTAGTTGATGCCATGGATGTGAGGGTGCGTGGAGGTGATCATGTGCAGGGTGGCGCCGATGCCGCCGCCGACGTCGACGAGCACCTTGACGTCGTCTAAGCCGCGGTAGACCTGGAGGAACTTCTTGGTGATGACGATGGAGTGGCTTCTCATGCCCTCGTTGAACACTTTATTGAACCGCGGATCCGTGCCGTGGTACTCGAACGCCGTCATCCCGTACGCCCTGTTGAAGGGGATGCCGCCCTCCAACACCGCCTCCTTCAAGTGGTACCTGCCGTCATTGCCACCGTCGGTTAGCAACCGTGGACGAGGGAGAGGCGTTGCCGGAGTTGTTCCTGCAGTCGATTACCAGCTCTCCATGAGGACCTTGTCTTGGTTCATCAAGCTCAGGGCGGCGAAGGACACGCCGTCCTCGTTCCTGGTCAGGTACTTGCAGACGGGCGCGGCGCCGTACATGCGGCAAGGGCGGCCGTCGCGGCCGGCCTCGACGGCGCAGCTGACGATGCCGTAGGCGGCGAGGAGGCGGAGGATGCGGTCCACCATGGCGGCGGCCTGCGGGTTCGTGGTGGGCAGCTGGGCCGCAACGTCGGCGGGGCTGAGCCTGGCGCCGGGGCCGGCGCCGACGATGATCTCCAGGAGTTGGAGCTCGATGGCGGCCTTGAGGGTCATGGGGAGGACGGAGCTGCTCACCAGCTGCGCCGCGTACATGCACGCCTCCTCGTCCTCCTCCGGGCTCAGTTGCAGCGCCGCCGCCGCCTTCTTCACGGATCCCATTGTTCGCGGTGGGAGTTGCAGGGGGTGCGATGAGTGATGGTGGTGGTGGGGGAGGACGTGGGCACGCGACGCTGACTTATATGGCTCCGAGTGCTCGGCTATCGCATCAACGACGTGAGGACTGGGCATTCCGTGTGCGCCTTCGGTGCTTTGATCTGTCCACTCCGTGTCGTCTTCTTTAGCTTTTGTTTTGTTCCCATTTTGCGCCACAATGTGTTCGATCAAATTACGGTGAGCTTTCTGAAGGTAAAAGAACCAAAAAACCAAAGCACAGAATTGAAAGTCCTGTGAAGAATCTGATAACATTGCTTATCTCATATCATCAACTTGTTAAGTTAAATGAAGCCTTTAATCTTGTGCCATGCAAACATGTTTAATAGATAAGTAGGCTTGGTGTCATCTAATCAATCAACTGAAATCACAATATCTCCTAACCTAACAAGCACACAACATGATGATTTGGTTGGTGAATAATATAATTGGTGTTCATGTGTCTGTCACCTTTAGATTTGGCTGTGATGAAGGTTGGTCCAAAGTGGACATCAAAGAAAGCAGGTTGGTGGTCCTTTTCATCCCATCATGAAAGGAGGAGATTCTTCTTCATGTAGTAAGTGGTCTCTAGAGTTCTTGTTAGGTCATGCTGATGACCAACAGTTGACAACATGACATAATACTAAGATGTTACATTTTCCACATAATTTAGATGTTTAGATAGAGTAGAGGAGAGGAGTTGTCTGCTTTTGGAGACTTGCTGATGAAATAATATGTTCATGAAATCACAAAAAAAATATTATTACTTTAGCCTAGAAGAATGAGGTTCATCTAATTCTTCTCATATATTATAGCCCATTAGAAAAAGGAAAATGCTTCATTGTTTTCATACTCCTTTTTCTCACATCTGTGTCTTGCAGTGACCTAATACTACTCTCTACTTGTTTGTCTATCTTGAAGTGGGAGGTGGTGATCAAAGTTTTCATATATTAAAAAAAATGCATCCAATGTTATCCCATAAGAATTACCAACATTTTTTTTATAATGCCAAAAGATACACTAAATTTTGGGATGATAAGAGGGCAAAATAGCATCCATTAATTGACAAATGTCACTTGCTATTAGGTGATGATAAGACAAAGAGTGGATATAATTATGGAGGAGAACACAAATGTCAAAATCATTTTCCCTGCTGCCTCATAAAGAAACCCAGCAATTCAGTGGGTTGGGAGTTATATGGCTACATCTTGATCTGAAAGATATCATCAATTTTCTTACAGTTTCAAGTCATTATTTCAATTGATGCTTCACCAAAGGGATATATATATATATATATATATATATATATATATATATATATTCTTTTTCTTCCATATGAAAATTTAGCTTATTGAAGGTGACATTTTCTTGTTGGAATCAGTCTTCTGCCTATTGATATTAACTATGTGATTTTTGAATTTTATTGTAAATTTAATTCAACATAGTTTATGACTAGAATGGAGATATTTGTGCTAATATTTTCAGCTCTCCTCTATTTTGATAAACTTCACAAGTTTATTCTATGAATGGTAGTGCACCTCTCTCTCTCTCTCTCTCCATGGAGTAGCACTTTGCCTTCTTTTCATCTTGAAAAGTCCTTTAATTTATTTACTTTTACACTGATCAATAATTCTTTAGTGGAATATTCACCATTTCTAATCAGTGAGTATTGCAAGATTTCCAAATAATTCTTTGACCCATGAGATAGATATATATGTCATTTCCATTAGCATGCATCCAACAGGATCTAGTAGAGTTAATTTTAAGTTAATATCCTTATTATTCTCACTGACCATTTTATTTCTTAATTTTTCTTTTTAACATTTTGACATCATACCTTTTCCTTTTTTCTACCCCTTCCATTTCTTTGGTACATCTTTATCTTAAATAATAAATAATTTAAAGATTACTAAGGAGGTTGAAAATTCAAAGTTGAAATACCCACAAAGAGGATTTAAAGACCAAATAAACTATATTTATAAGTACAAATATGTTTTTTTGGGAGGGATTAATATGAAAATTATTGAATTTTGAAGGAACACAATTTTGCATTAATATAGTGGATTTCACTACTTTTGCTATTATTTGTGAATCAGTAGTCAATCTCATAGCCTTTTAGAATCATTTTTTTGTATATATATATACCTTTGCTTTTGCAAAGTGGAGAGTGGAAATTTCCAACCCACAATCAATTTTTGATTTGAAGTGGAAGGTGGTAGTGGTGGAGATTTCCTCTCACCTACTCCAACCCTAGTGGTGTGTAATGTTCCAAGCAAATATGAACAATAGTTGCTTACATGTTGACATCAACCATTATTAGAGTGTCAACCAATTCCTATCACTTCTTGATTTGGACTCCTCCCTAATAATAGAACCCAACTTACTTCATCCTCCAACCTCCACCATCTATATTATACTCTTAAATGAAAACATTTTAAATATTCTGATTTTTTTTTTTATAAGCTAAGAAAGAAATGGTTGTGAATTCAGAATTGTTTCACTCTCATTCAGTAAAATAGACTAAAATATGAATAAATTCTGAATTTGTAATATATATATATATATATATATATATATATATATATATATATATATATATATATATATGGACTATGCCAGTGTGGCTGCACGGGCTTTGCACGTGACTCCATGGGCTGGACCAGCCCTTTGTTGCGTACAGTCCTCGTGGCAAAGCCCGGCCCAAGAAAAGAGGACCCCGGTCCCACTACTGCGGGTCCCATTTGTGTTCCAAGTGTGAAAATATGTACCACTCATAGCTTTGAATATTATATATATATATATATATATATATATATATATATAAGAATTTATAAGGTAAAAATGTAATTTCAGATAAAATTAAAAGAAAGGCAAAGAGAAGGACTAAAACGTGGCGGATAAGTGGCGGCGAAGTGCAGGAAAACGCCACGTCGCGCTGGCCGTGGGCCCGGAACCAGACGACGTGGCGGAAGCGCTTTCTCCCCGCACGCTACGACTCGTTACCACCGTGCGAGCGTCCTCACGGCTTGGCCGGTTCCATGCGACCGTCAATCCGCCCGTCCACATCTCCCACCGGCAGCAGATTGTTATCCCGCATATAAAATATATGCGTAGTTCGTACGAAAAGACTTGTGTCTCTCGCTCTCGTGGATCAAAAAGCGCACCCCGAGCTCGGATCTAGCAGATGCAACTTTACACGTGGCGGCATCTCTCTCTCCGCCCACTCCCAGACTCAAATAAATAAATTAACTAAAAATTAAAATTAAAATATAAAGCTCCGCGCTCTCCACCTCTGTTAATAATAATAATAATAATAATAATAATAATTTCTCGCGGGAGGCGAAGGAAGCCACAAGAAATGTTCGTGGCTGAGATTTCCTCCCCGCGTCGAGAAAGCTGAGGCCGCCTCCGCCTCCGCCTCCGCCTCCGCCCGCTTCTCCCTTCTCCGGCTCGACGTTGCCGTCCAGCTCCTCTCCTCTTCGATTTGAAGAGCAATAGCATCTCCCTCCTCTCCGATCCCTTCTTCCTCTGCTCCTGACAGATCTCGCCTCCGATTCAGCTCTGAGATGTACAAGAGGCAGTAGGAAGATGAGTCGCTGGCGCTTGTGATGCCTCCCTCTGGTCGCGTAAGGCGGATTCGAGTCTCTTTAGGGTTTGGGTCTTCGATCTCTCAGGTGCTACTTGTTTCTATGACGGATTGGATGGAACCGATCTATGATTTTGTGGGTTCTTGAGTCTCGTCTCTCGTTGGGTGATGGTGATGCAGACTTCAGCGGGTTATGAGGTACTTCGTGCGCCGAATTGAAGCGCCTGGTTGGAGATGTGGAGGGGGGTTTTGTGCTGTTCGTCGACGACTTGAAGTCTAGCTGATCCGCGTCTAGTTGAACTTGAACTTGAGATTAGGGCGATGGAAGGGAATTCTTCCGGAGACGAGATGGTTGTCGTGAAGGTCTCATGTTCTCCTCTGCATCACTTGTTGTTTCTTGGTCTAGTTCCGGTGCTTAAAAGGGTTCGTTCCGTTCCGATGCAGACGAGGAAGCCTTATACCATTACCAAGCAAAGGGAGAAGTGGACCGAGGAGGAGCACAACCGCTTTCTCGAAGCTCTGAAGCTGTACGGGAGGGCTTGGCAGCGCATCGAAGGTTTGTTGATTTAACTCAACTCGTGCTTTACTTAAACCCAGTCAACCATGCTCTTTCAATCAAATAGGTACTTCTCTCAAAGATTTAGTTTGAGAAGTTGAGTTCTTGGCAGACATGGTAGAACTTGTCCTGGTACAAGGAGTCTTCTGAGCAAGACAGTGTACCGCCTGAATTGTTCGATAGTAAAGATTCCTGATTTGTCGGAACACAGTAAAGTCACTTGTTTTAATCGTACTTATCATCTTGTTAGTTTGTGATGCTTGTGACAGACCATATTGGTACAAAGACAGCTGTTCAGATTAGAAGCCATGCACAAAAGTTCTTCACCAAGGTCAGTTGTTCTTTTGTAGAAATTCAGATATGGAGCTCTACCAACTAAACATATGATGCTAGAAATTAACTATTAGAATCTTTTTTTATATTGTTTTGAGGCTATCTTTACTGACTGATACAATTTGTTCGCTAATTGTGCCTGTATATTTGTCACACGTGTGTAACATAGTCTCAAGAAATGTTTTTCTATAATGAACCATAATTTACAGCATAAGACTTTGTAACCAAGTTTGATTAGGTTCTGAGTTCATGGCTCGGTGGTGGATAACAAAGGTTTATTTTGTATTTGGCCTTTACTACAATATGACTCTGGCATATTATTTTAGTGATGGAAATAAGGACACAAATGGTTTCTTGCAGAAATAAATTCAGAGAATCACTACCAAAATATCCATCACCTGCAGAAGTATTTCTAGAGAACCACCGAAAGATATTCATCATCTACAGCCCTTGAGATATCATATTCTGCTTGTCTTCTTAAATTCTCACACAATTAATTTGCCATATCCTATCAGGTTTAGATCCACCAGTCTCTATGTTGTTGCTAAATTTCTCCTATGCATGAGTGAGAATTTCAAAATAATGTCTCTTTTAAGAACCACAACAAACAGTGTGGATTTGAAAGGTAAAGTTTTGAAAATACTCTTATTA